CTCCCTCTCCCTCCCTTTCTTCCTTCCTCTTCCCTCGCTCAGTCTTTCGTCAGCAGCAGTTAAAATGTCGGCTGTGTAGCTTGTCCTCTGCTCTGCTTTCTCCTCTTCACCATCTTCCTCACCTATTCCTTTCCTTCTTTCTTCAAGCTAGCTGGTAGATCAAAGCAATTTTGAAGTCTGTCTTCAAAGACTGTTCTATGAAGATGGAGGAGAAAGGTAATCTTACACATTTAATCCTTTTTTTATGTCTTGTTTTTTTTTTTTTTTTTTTTTGAATGACCTTTAGATTTGTAAAACCCAAACTGTGATGGTCATAAGATAATAGGAAGGACACCAGTAACCATTGGAACTTTGGACCATTTAAGCTGGGTTATCTGTTCTTTCTCATGTATCCTTAATATGTGGTCAAAGAATCTTTTGTCTACCTTGTAGAAAACGTTTTCTCTGATCCATCCTGGAACTTAATCTAGGTGTAACTGGTCGCTGGAGATGAGGCTCTCATCCAGATTTCATCCACTACTGACTGTTGTCTCTGCCACTAGCTTCTGCTTCAGTGCAGCCATACATGTTGTGTCAGATTCATGCTTGTGCCATAGGTGTTTCAACCCTGAGTAATATTACTCTAATAGCATGGATTACTTGATTGATTGGTGACTTAATCAGCTTTGAAAAGTCAGATATTCAGCTTGTGACATCTAAAGAGACTAGGGATGTCCCGTTCCGATATCAGAAATAGGATTACATCGGACTGCATCAAAAATCTCTGATATAAGCAGTCCAATCCACTTTAAATTCTGTTCCAGCACTTCTGTTCGTCAGTGCGCAGATCCAGCATGTAAAGTCCACAGCAACTGGTGAGGTGGGTGGGGAAATGCGGCAGTATTTTTCAATTTTTAGAATTTCAACATTTTTCAATTTGTGCAACACTTATCATGCGCAGGTTTTCTGGGGTGGAACAGAACTGTGAACGTTTAATACATTCAGGATCATCGCACATTGGAAGCAGAATCACAGAACACTGCATGAGAATTTTTGCAAGACCTCTGTGGTGAAAGAAACAATCTTCTGGCATCTGGCTACTTCAAACAACCAACACTGTCTGAAACACTTGCAAATTCCCAAGAGACAGCAAAAAAGGCACCCTTAACATAAAATATGTCCGTCTGTTGTGATCCATAACCAGCCCCTGTTGATGGTAGTAATGTTGGGTTTAAATGCTTAATTGAAAACTTTTAGCATCACTACGTTTTGCCCAGACACCACTACATTGTTGACAAAACCATACTCCCGATGCATAAAAAGGTGTTTTGCTACACATCTAGATAAAGCAAGTGCTGTTAGCTTTGCCACTGACATCCGGACCGCAGACCATTGTCTGCCATCTTTATTGAGCCTGACTGCATGCTGGATAGATGCTGATATTATTTTTGCAGAAAAGTGTTGCATGTTCAGTATTCAGAGGTTCACACACAGCTAATGCCATCACAAACTCCATGAAGGAGATGCTGCAGGACTGGACATTTTACAAAAGAAGGTCAACATGGTACCTACTTGGAGCAAACGGAGTTCCTCAGAGAATGGTTCTGAAAATTTGAGCTAGAGCTGATACTTGGTACTGAACAGAAGCACAATCCAGTTGCACAGATTACATTAGTGTCAGTCAAAGCAGGTACTAGTGGAATTGTGGCGCAAGTTGTCTTCAGTCTTTATGCCTCTGGTAGGTTCACCCGCGGCAAACAGGTTCAAGGTGAGGAATCAGACAAAAAGCAGCCCAAGACCCCTTATGATGAAAAATATATGGAAACCGTGTTCCCTCGCTCAGACGCCAGTCGCCGGGGCTGGAGCCAGGCTTTGAGGTGGGGCACATTGGCAGTTGCCTGGTGGGTGGGGTTTTGCCCATGGAACCTGGCCGGGCACAGCCCGAAGAGTAAACTTGGTTCCCCTTTCCCACGGGTTCACCACTCATAGGAGGGGCCAAAGAGTCAGTCAGGTGCAGTGTGCAGACGTTAAAATCCCTCACCTTTCGGCGAAATGGGTCACCTACGTGATTTGTGCAGATCTGATGAGAAAATATGGGGAGGGTGTAGCGAGGCCGGCTTTTCCAGTTTAACCAGTTTCAATATTATCCCCTGGGGGGATTATTCAAGAGTATTTTTAAGACGCCCCCGACACCACTAAAAGTAGAAAAATAAAAATCTGTCGCGACCCGCACATAGTCAGCTTGTCTGGAGGTCTTCTTTGTTGATCTCCAGATGATGGCTCTTCCCTGCTTGTACAATTAAAGCCTGAACGGAGTACCGACAGGTTGGATCAGATTAATTTGACTTGAGTGTGATGAGTCGCGCTAGGACACTTTAGATAACGAGGACAAACAACCATTTTTACCGCAGTTTTGCTTAAAAACATCAGTTCAGTCCCTGTGGTCCACTCGCTGTTTACCTCCTCTCTCCCTCCTCTCCTGTGGGTTGGAACCCGCACCTAGCGCACCGGTGTGACGTCATCAGAATTCTGCTCGGTTCCGTAACCAGACTCAGTTCCTTGTTTGAAATGTGTTTCCTTACCGCTCCGCACGGAAGCGGCTAAATAACGTTTAGCGCTCATAAGCGGATTATCAGCGCTCTGCTCATAAAACAGAAGACCTGCAGGCCTCTGTGAGTTACAACATCCTGATACTGTTCAGGTGTAAACATTGTGCTCCATCCCTGTGTTTGAACTCAGAAGATGCTCCTTGATGCCACAGATATGTGATGTTTTAGCTTGTTTCTTTATTTAACTCCAGAATAAGAGATTAAGTATTGGTACTCGTACCTAAGTAGGACATTTTTTTACTCTTTCCACCTCTGACAGGTGGTAGCCAAGGGCGGGGACCTTGGCGGTCTGATCCTCGGCTACAGAAGCCAGCTCTTGGCACATGGAACGTCACCTCTCTGGTGAGGAAGGAGACTGAATCAGTGTGCAAGGTTGAGAGATTCCGACTAGATATAGTCGGACTCACCTCAACGCATGTCTCTGGCTCCGGAACCAGTTTCCTTGAGAGGGGTTGGACTTTCTACCACTCTGTCTTGGACACTTGGGTGAAGAGAGGAGTGGAGCTGTCAACTGACCCCTGCCTGGTGATGACTTGGCTCAGATTGTGAGGGAGGATTCCGGTCAGACCTGGCAGGCCCAAACGTATTAGGACTGTCTTCTGGGAGTCTCCTGTCAGAAGAAACTTCAATTCCCACCTCCGACGAAACTTCCAAAACGTTCTGGGGTAGGCAGGGGTCATTCAGTCCGAATGGGACATGTTCCATGCCTCCATGGTTGAGGAGGCCAACCAGAGCCATGGTTGCAGGGTCATTGGTGCCTGTCATGGCAGCAAACCCTGACCCCACGGGTGGACATTAGCGGTTTGAGATGCTTTCGAGCTGAAGAAATAGTCCTATTAGGTCTTTTTGGATTGTGGGGCTTGTTGATACCATGGAGCAAGACTTCCACACGGCTTCGAGGAGATTCTGGTCCAGGAGGGGAAAAAGAAAGAAAGAAAGAAAACAATCTTTTATATAGCACCTCTCAAGATAAAAATCATGAGGCGCTTCACAAAACCAAAAACAAAAAATTTAAGTATAACAAGATTTTAAAAATGATTTAGAATATTTACAAAAAATGTAAGGAAAGGGAGAATGAACATGAATAGGAAATAGGGAAATCAATGGATCCCATGAAAGGATGCAGAATAAGGAGAGGGTGGTGACAAAAGTCACACAAAAGCCAGCTTGAACAAGTGAGTTTTCAGCTGCTTTTTAAAGGAGACCACTGAGTCCACTGATCTCAGGCTCAGGGGGAGAGACTTCCTGAGACTGGGCACCACAGCAGCAAATGATCTGTCACCCAGTGAAGCTGGGTGACAGATCTAACAAAATTGGTGTCAAACGTTTGTGCTGCAAAAAATATTGTTTGTGCTACTTTCATTTTAGAGATCTTAGTAAATGTGTTCAAAGGTCAGCCAGCCCCCCACATTAAGCAAACCAAACAAAATCGGCGTCAAATGTTTGTGCAGCAAAAAAAGTATTTCTGCTGCTGTCACTGAAAAGATCTAAATAAAAGTTTCCAAAGGTTATCCTAGGTCAAACCCCCGCACCCAAGCTGTGCTGATTTGATGCCAGTGGAGGGGTTAAAGGTGAATACAATGAGCACTTTTCCCTGTCCTTTCGGTCACATATCGACCTGTTTACTTTCACCTTAGGAATATTTATCGCCTGTTCTCCTCACTGTATAATCACACTGCCACCATATTAGTTAACCCCTTGAGCCCTAGTCTGGCTCATACGGCTTTGCTCTAAACAACCAGCAGTAGTATAATTAGAAGAGCAAAATGGAAGCGAAAGAAAATAAGCATGGAGAGCACTCGAAATTAAACTTGCAACACCAGAAAACATGGCTGAATTCCTCCACATTTTGCTCTACAATCACTTTTGAAAATGGCACCACAGGAGATGTGTTCATCATTGAACAGGCAGCACAAAAGAGCTTGTGGAGTAGGACAAATTCATCTGAACAAAATAGGTTTATTTTGTTACCACAAACAATCAAACCTGAGAAATTTCAGAGGATGTTTTAACATTTTAGAGGTGAGTTTTATTATGTCATTCAGTGATCCATACACCTGCCCTCTGCTCCTGGAGCTCGTGCATGCGTGCGTTGAAGGCGCTGCGTCGTCTTGGTGACATCTGGGGCAGTGTGTCGGCATCAAAGCACACACTCTCTCAGCTCTTTAGTTAACAGTGGAATGTGAAAGTTTGGGCAGTCTTGTTAATCTTCATGATTTTCTTTTATAAATTGTTGGTTGTTATGATTAAATATTTTAGTTAAATATATCATAAAGGAGACACACACCGAGATATTTGAGAAATGAAACATAGTTTATAGGATTTACAGAAAGCGTACGGTAATTGTTTAACAAAATTAGGCAGGTGCATGAATTGGTCTTGGTAGAAACCTAGGCTTGTTTCTTTTTGCAGGCATTTAAGCCAGTGGTGGGGAAAAGCCTGTTGTCTCCTGTAACAGCAGTGGAATTCTTGTTGGATCGACAGCTGGACTTCCTTTCTGACCATTCGTCCTGCCAACCTTACCAGGTAATCAACACACACACACACACACACACACACACACACACACACACACACACAGTGTTACTTTGGTTCAAATGATCAGTTAAAGCGGCTGCAGAGATAAAATTGCGTGCATAAATATACTATTCTTTTTAACATGATTTACACTGAACAAAAATATAAACTCATCACTTTTGTTTCTGCTCCGATTTTTCATGAGATGGACTTAAAGATCTAAAATTCATTCCAGATACACAATATTACCATTTCTCTCAAACATTGTTCACAAATCAGTCTAAATGTGTGATCGTGAGCACTTCTGCTTTGCTGAGATAATCCATCCCACCTCACAGGTGTGCCACATCAAGATGCTGATCTGACATCATGAGTAGTGAACAGGTGTACCTTAGACTGCCCACAATAAAAGGCCACCCTGGAATGTGCAGTTTTTTGCTTTATTGGGGGTCTGGGGACCCAGAAACGGTCAGTATCTGGTGTGCCATTGCAATTGGAAGGCTGTACCCGGATATTGCATAAACATAGTGCGGCGGGCGTATTTGCGTCATTTACCCAAACAAAGCTATTCAGTCAAACATGGCCGACGAAGAGATAGAATTCCTCTCACTGATCAGACTTATGTTAAGCATAATTCTGTGCACACGAAGACGCCTGGATGATGCAGATCAATGGTTAATAAAGGAATCACGGAAGCGGTGTGAAGCGCTCCGTTGCGCATCTAGGAGACGGTACCGTAGGAGGCGAGCTGCCATGGTTCGCCGCATGCTACATGAGCGAGCTATCTAGGTGCGCACAGCGTCCCCCGGTCCCCTCCTCCTCCTTGTCCGGAACTCGACCTCACCAGTCTAAAGCAGCCACCCTGTCCGTAACAAGTCCTGTCCTGTTACTAGGGGCGTCGTCCGGTTTATTTACGGAAGAGGTTATCCGATGTTTGTATTCAGACACAAAGGTCTTAAGGACAGATTCCCGAACATTTCCGTTTTTCATGGCCTGCCTGAAGGGGGCTTTTGTTTTCAAGCATCCAGTTACCTGCACATGTTCCTCCACAAGGTATAACAAAAATTGGAGGGTCTGCACTGCAATCTTGGGGCTCATGAGGAACTTTAACAATATTACATAATGTTAGCAAAGACAGTGTGGTGATGAGTGGTGATATTTTGTGTTTCAAGGTATATTACTGGTATAGGAGCATGATCCAGCAAGGGTTCTTTGTGTGATGAAATCCACTTCAGGCTTAAAGCCAAACAATCTTGAAAAATATCAAATCAGCAGAATAATGGTTATGAGCAGCTCAGTAATTAATCCAGGTTCTAGGAAGGTGGTGAAGGCTCTGTCTCCAGGATGTTGTTGCAGTTAGCACCTACTTGGCAAAGCCACTCAGCAGGCTCCAGGTGGCTGACACAGGCCCGGTCCGGAAGCTCAAGGCCAAACCAGGCTCTTGGGGGCATGCAGCAGGGCCAATACAGAAGAACCAGGATCCAAGTGGGTGTAGCAGACACAAGCGATCCAGTCCAAATATGATGGAAGGCCCCATTCAGGCTAACAGAAACTAGATAAAGCCAGGCAGAGACCAGAAGGGCCAAGCAGAAACCAGCAGGATCCTAGTTGAAAATGGTGAAAGATTCTGGCCATACCAGCTAATGTCTGAGCCACTGACAAAGGAAGGTCAGAGCAGGATCCAAGCTGAAGGTGATTGAAGCTCAGTGTTGCCAGATCCAAAATCCCACAATATCGTACAGAGAGGCCTAAATTATCGTTTTTCAGTACAAATGATCGTACATTATAAATTTGAAAATATTGTTCTATAAATGACTTCTCACTCCAATATAATATAACAAAGAAGGTGTTTTATATTGCCCTGTTTAAATAAACATCTAACCCTAACCCCAAACCTGTAAGCACTGAGGTGAAATCTGACTTCAGAACAGTTTAAAATGATGTAATTGACTTGGGAAAGCCACAGCAAAAGACGGTGTTACTAGGTGCAATGTGAAATTATCGTACATTTGAGGATTTTTGAAACTATTGATCGTACATCGTACAGAGCCCAAAATTATGGTACAAATACGATAATTATCGTACATATGGCAACACTGCTGAAGCTTGTGAGTTAGATTATGAGAAGTTTGGGATCAACCACACCACACAGCAGGCCTTTGTTTTCTAGGAATGTGGTCAAACAGGATCTGTCTCAGACTACAGGCCTCACTGTTTCTGCAAGAAAGGTTGAGGTGGAGAAACAATCCAGGACCATCTGCCAAATTGCATGAACCAAAAAACTTCCCAAAAATATTGAGAATGTTAATTAAAACACCTACTCCAAAAATTTCACAAAATGGAAAGAAAACATTAACTATAAGATCACACAACCGGGGCTGCCATCTTGGACAAAAAGTAGTAGTACACAGCGAGTTCTGTGACCTGTGAGGTGAAAAATATCTAACCCGTTTGATTTTCACCTCTGCATGTTGTGAGGCAGAAAACTTGGTGAAAATTAGGCGCACACAATGAGGAATCTGCTGAGCAGATGGCTGCAAATGACTGTTAGATCAGCTGTTTGCATTTTCGGGCAGCAAACTAAATCAACAACACAAAAACATTTCTCGGACAACAACAAAGAAAAAACATTAGAACAGCAACCACATTTACCCCACATCACCCCCCTGCAAAGCAAATGACCATATTGCATATTTGTATTTGTTCCCTGGTTTTCTGAAGAGTCTTGGCATTGTCTACATAGTAGTTCTGCAGAGGCTCAGGAGGTAGAGCGGGTTGTGCAGTAATAGAAAGGCTGCAGGTTCTATCCCAGCTCCGACCAGAGAATGCTGCTGTTGTGTCCATGGGAAAGACAATAACCCACCTTGCCAGCTGGTGATGGTTGGAGGGACCGTTGGTGCCAGTTTTCAGCACTCTTTGCTTGCCTCTATCATTGCGCCCCAGTGCAGCTGTGACTACATCGTCGCTCATCCTGACCAGCATATGAATGTGTGTCAATGGGTGAATGACTGATTGTGTCTCAGGGGTTTGTAGAACCTTAAGAAGGCGCTACAGGCCATTTGATATTTTAGTACAAACCGACTAAATAACCAATCAGAAAAAAGACGGAAATGCAGAATGTATCGCACGACGCTGTAGTTTTTTAGCTGTAGTTAAAAAAAAGGCGTCTGGCAATGGCGCAAATATCTTTTTTTTTTTTTTAGAAGAAGAAAGGCTTTTAGTACTTCTACCTGTTGTGGTTTTAAAGACATTCAAGTCATTTAGAACAGAGGAAAGAGCTGCAGCGAACTCTGCTTCAGTCGCCATGTTTATGACAAACTCGTTATGGTGTGTGGCGTACGCTACTCAGCGCTGATTGGCTCAGTTAGAATTCTCAGGGGGTGGGGTTATTTGAATAGGACAGTTCCCAGATCCTTTCTCTGTGCAGAATTAGACAGAGGGGGAGTCTGGCAGGCCAGGCAAAGTCAAATGCGGCCCTGAAGCACAACAAATAACAATCAGCGAAAATATAAAATAAATCACAAAAATGCACCTAAAAACATCAAAAAATACCCCTACTCTGTAGGAGTGACAGTAGATGCGACCTACACCATCTTGTGCCAAAATGGAAGTTCCGAATAGGGTCTCTTATACATATGATGGACAAGCACTGTTGTGTAAATGGTCCAGTTTAAACATTTCTTAGGTGTCTGACGGTCTGATGGTGTGTCCTTCAGGATGAGGTGGACAGTCATAACCCAGTGTTGAGAGACTACCCTCAGCTTCATGACGAAGTAAAAGGCTGGCTGAAAAACCAGAAGGTGCAGGAAATTTTTATGCAAGGTAAGCTCCTTAATAAGTGATTTTCCTGTATTTTTTAAATTGCGGTTTGTGTTGAATATGTTCTGTTGAATGTGTCTTGGGTCTGCTGTCACATCTTACTGTTTGACTGATGAAGATTACTGCTGCCTCCAGGACCCTACTCTTTAAATGGATACCGTGTGCGTGTGTACAGACAAGACTCGGCAACCCAATGGTTTACTGGGATCATCACACATCACGACCTCTTCAGTCGAAACATGGTCGTTATGAATGACCAGGTATAGTAGTCTTGGGTGGTCCTAAATATGGGTACCATTAGAAGGTTTTACATTTGGCAGTGTGGTCTATAAGTATATAGGATGTTAGTGGCTCCAGACTTCTTCACAAACTGTTTGCGTCACAATCTGTCCTGGAATACAGAAGATACTCACTGGTCCCTATTAGAAAGTACAGAAACCCTTTTTATTAGGTCTTGCTTTCAGAGATTCAACAAGGTGTTGGATTTGTTCCTCAGAGATTCTTGTGATGGCATCACACTAGGGCTGAACATTTGTTGGCTGCTCAGCAATGATGTGAATCTCCTGTCCAGTTAAGCTCTGACGGTGTAAGCCGTTGAAGTTCAGTGAACGTATCTTTGTGTTGTAGCTTTGTGACATTAAAAACTGTACAGTGTACAACGATGATTATGATGATGCTTGCATGCATGTGCATGGGTTCTCAGGTACTGGAACCTCAGAATGTGGATCCATCTATGGTACAGATGACCTTTCTTGATGACGTTGTCCACTCTCTGCTGAAAGGGGAAAACATTGGCATCACATCCAGACGAAGGTCACGATCCAGCCAGAACAATTCTGCCCATGTGAGTACAGATTACCCCCCCCCCCCCCCAGACACACACACACACACACACACACCCGAGTATCCAGACTATGACAATTATCAACTGTCTTTGTGTACATTTATTTACAAAAACAAGATATTTGCACCAAACAAAATACCTATGAATAGTTTGTGACCAGTATGTGAGTGTGTGTGTGTGTGTGTGTGTGTGTGCGTGTATTTTGATCATATGCTCAGTCATCATCTATTCTGGTTTGGTTACCAGTAAGTTAACTTCATTACTTTGTCACCAGAGGGTGACACAAATCCATTGTTTTATTTGTGTTTGTAACGCTGCCTCACATAATACACATGAATAAATCTCACATTTAACTGTTCCCTTTTTATCCCACAGTCACTGAAATCTTCTCACACATTTTATTTATGTTCACTTTTTCTTCTTGTTTTTATTTTTTGTTCATTAAAGACGACAGGAGGGAGACCCAGCGGAACTACTGGAAGCTCTCAGGTATCTTTCAACCCCCACTCCCAGAACCCTCTCACACCCAAACACAGCAGAACCGTGCACATGCATCACAGGTGCTCTTGGTGATCATGTTTTGGACGGGGATATACATCTGATTTCTGGGCTTATTTAATGGGAGCAGCCGGCTACATCAATGGGTACATTTGGGGTAGCTAATCGAGGAGCGACAAGGCGCGTTAAAGCAGGAGCGAGCAGGAGGCTACAAACGCGTTCCAGCACGGGCAGCCGCACTGCACAAAAGCAAAGAGAACACCTTTTCTTCTAAATTGTCGATCACGGCCGAGTGCTCTTGGAGCCCGTGAGCGAAGCAAAAGAATTACTAGTAAGTCAGCTTTATTTGTATAGCACATTTCAAACACAAGGGCAATTCAGCGTGCTTTACAGAACAGCAAACACAATAAATCAAAGAAATGTAGACATAATTTCAGATTCAACAAACAAACAAAAGCCTAGTCAAAAGGTAGCAGTTACAGTGCAGAAGGAGCAGCATAAGAAACATGTATTCAAAGTCTAATGAATACATGAAGGTTTTTAATTTTGAGTCAAAAGCTATTAGCGTTGGGGCACAATTGAGGTCATGAAGAAGCTGATTCTATCTGCGTGCAGCATAGTGACCAAAAGCAGCTTCACCCAGCCTGCTGGAGATGAATGCATGAATTTGTTTCTCTACGTCTTGTTTTGACATGAAACCTCTGAGTCTTGCTAATCAATGGCGATGATAAATGCTAATGTAGTTATAGCCTTAAAGGCAGGGTCCATAAGTTGACATCATCAGGGCGAGGAGTAGAAGGTTTTAAAATTTGAAAGGCTGTTGCTCCCTCCCCTGGCCTCCCTGTAAGAGCTGAAAGCCACGCCTCCTAACGTGCACGCACAAGGAAAGCCGAGTCAACAGAGGGAGCATCGCTACTTTGACCCAGAGCTGAGCTAGCGTTAGCAATGGAGTTTTTAAGGTAAGGATGATGTTTCCAATCAAAACTTTAGCTCTTCACTGTTAACAAAAGTAATTTATAAAGAATGTCTATAGATATTTTAAAAAGACAAATGACATAATCTATAAATAAACCCACTACCATCACATTGTTGGCATTTTACTAGGAGTCACTAGCATATTATTAGCTTATCTTAGCATTAGCCCCATGGGCTAGTTTACATTTTATACTGCAGTCATTTAAGAAGGGATGAATGTACATAAGAATTATTCAGACATATCATGAGTAAACACAACCTTCTGTGTACTCTTTCTATAATCCTGGTTGGTACCAGAGGTTTACTGGTTATTTTGTATGTTTGGTGCTTTGTTTCAACCAGTGACTGTAGTGTTATTCTAACACTAGAGCTGGAAGAGTTTGAACCTCCTGTCGCCTCATCAAGCAGACGTGGTTTAAAACGGAGCTGCCCATCAGCCTTTAGAGGTTGTTGTGCTGCTGTGAACCTTGGAGAAGTAGATTTACCTCAAGTTCAGAATCTTGGACCAAAACGCATAGCTTGAACAGGTGAGCACAATAATATTAAAAAATAATGTTGTATTAATAAATCCTTCACTTTTATAGCAATAACTACAGAACCTGAACTCTCACAGGCTAATGACGGGCTGGACGAAGACGCTGGTGTTGTTTGATGTCTTACCCTCTTGTCTCCTGGAGCTACTCCTATTATCAAATGAACCGTCTTGGTCTGTATGTTCCTGCTACAGAGATGCCAACTGATTTAGAAACGGATTTTGCTGCCAATAGTCAAGAGTTGTCCCACACATGGAAGCGTTAATACTTCAAAAGGGGCACTTCAGCCTGGCCAGGACACTGCGGTACGAATTTTGACCTGCGTCTTACTGACAATATGTAGCATGATCATATGATAAACCTGAGGGGACAACAGAGTAGTAATTCCAAGTTGTGTAGTCTGGAGGTTGAGGGACAAATTCCTTATCCCAATTGGGAATGATGCTGGATTTATTCAAAAAAAGATTTTAAGGAATAATTGTAACTAATTAGTAATTTACATTATTTCTGTTTCATATGACTAATCTAACGATTTGTAACTAATCTTTTTTACTGTGATGTGTTCAGCGTTCTATAATAAAGTATTTATAAAGCTAAGCTCCTCTGTGTTACATTTGTAAACTACTGTAAATGTGAAATACCTCATCTACGACAACAGCATCTTCTCAACACCTACCTCAAACATTTTCCATAAGTCTCCAATTAGTTCAGATGTGTCAAAAATAATCTTTATTTTCAAATATACAGTTGTGGTCAGAAGTTTACATACACTTGTAAAAAATATAATATAATGGCTCTACTGAGTGTCCCGTTATTTCTAAAACTCTGATTTTTCTCTGATAGAGTGATTGGAACAGATACTTCTTTGTCACAAAAAACATTCATGAAGTTTGGTTCTTTAATGTCTTTATTATGGGTTAACAGAGAAAAGTGATCACATTTGCTGGGTCACAAGTATACATACAGCAACATGAACTAGCAATTTAGGTGACTTAGAAACGTGTCAGTGAACTGAGCTTCATAGCATGGCCTCTTAACTTCTTGTGAGTGATTATGAGTGACTACAGCAGGTGACTTCTCTTAGGCCAGGTAAATAGGGCTCATTGGATACAAACGCCCACAAACGCTACAATGGGAAAGTCAAAGGAGCTCAGCATGGATCTGAAAAAGCAAATTATTGACTTGAACAAGTCAGGAAAGTCACTTGGGGCCATTTCAAAGCAGCTGCAGGTCCCAAGAGCAACAGTGCAAACAATTGTTTGTAAGTATAAGGTGCATGGCACTGTTTCATCACTGCCAAGATCAGGAAGAAAACGCAAGCTATCACCTGCTGCTGAGAGAAAATTGGTCAGGAGGGTAAAGAGTGAACCAAGAATCACCAAAAAGCAGATCTGCCAAGAATTAGAAGCTGCTGGAACACAGGTGTCATTGTCCACAGTCAAACGTGTTTTGCATCTCCATGGACTGAGAGGCTGCCGTGCAAGAAGGAAGCCCTTGCTCCAAAAGCAGTACCTTAAGTCTCGACTGAAGTTTGCTGCTGATCACATGGACAAAGATAAGACCTTCTGGAGGAAAGTTCTGTGGTCAGACGAAACAAAAATCGAGCTTTTTGGCCACAATGCCCAGCAATATGTTTGGAGGAGAAAAGGTGAGGCCTTTAACCCCAAGAACACCATGCCTACAGTCAAGCATGGTGGTGGGAATATTATGCTGTGGGGCTGTTTTGCTGCCAATGGAACTGGTGCTTTACAGAGAGTAAATGGGATAATGAAGAAGGAGGATTACCTTCACATTCTTCAACATAACCTAAAATCATCAGCACGAAGGTTGGGTCTTGGGCGCAGTTGGGTGTTCCAACAGGACAATGACCCCAAACACACATCAAAAGTGGTAAAGGAATGGCTAAATCAGGCTAGAATAAGGGTTTTAGAATGGCCTTCCCAAAGTCCTGACTTAAACCCCATTGAAAACATGTGGACAGTGCTGAAGAAACAAGTCCATGTCAGAAAGCCATCAAATTTAACTGAACTTCACCAATTCTGTCAAGAGGAGTGGTCAAAGATTCAACCAGAAGCTTGTGGATGGCTACCAAAAGCGCCTAATTGAAGTGAAAATGGCTAAGGGACATGCAACCAAATATTAGCACTGCTGTATGTATATTTGTGACAAAGCAAATGTGATCACTTTTCTCTGTTAACCCATAATAAAGACATTAAAGAACCAAACTTCATGAATGTTTTTTGTGACAAAGAAGTATCTGTTCCAATCACTCTATCAGAGAAAAATCAGAGTTTTAGAAATAACGGGACACTCAGTAGAGCCATATATTATATTTTTTACAAGTGTATGTAAACTTCTGACCACAACTGTATTTTTAGATTTTAAATATAATTACCAACAGTAAGAACAGTGTTTTTATTTTTATTTAGATTCCCCCAAAACCTGTTTCTGCATCAAAACTTGGCATGTAAAAATAAAAAAGAAGTCATCAATTACAGCGTATTTTTTAGGGGAGACTTAAGGCAGAATATATTTCATCGTCACCATAAATCTATTGCTGGTGGTGTAGCGTTAAGAAATGACACTAGAGCCCTGCACGGGCTTAAAATCTGTGCCCGTGTCCGGCCCGGCCCGAGGGGGTGGAGCCCCAGCCCGACCCGGTCCGAAAAGGTTTTCAGGATTCTCTGGCCCGACCCGAGCCCGACTTATTTTTTCAACCTTTCATAATGTTTTAGCGTGATAGAATGCTCCGCATTCTAATTATCTGTGAGAAGCGTTCTGCAGTAAAAAAAAAGAAAGAAAAACGGCATCAATGCAGCTTTTTTTTCTAACAGAGCGTATTTTCCGAGCGGCAGATGAAATGTACGAACACTATATTAATTGGATGCGTTTGTAAATTTAATCTGCTCTGAAAATGCGCTCTTGTGCAATAAAAAAAAAGCAGCATTCTAATTTTCTAACTACAGAGCGCATTTTCAGAGCGGCAGATTAAATAAACGCCCCCAATTAATATAGTATTTGTAAATTTAATCTGCCGCTCTGAAAATGTGCTCTCCAGTTAGATAAAAACCAGCAATGAATGCTGTATTTTTTTAACTGCAGAGCGAATTTATTCACAGAAAAATCGAATGCTGCCGTTTTCATGAGAATAAACGAATGGTTTCTGACATCAAAGTGGACATAAAATGGCATACTGGAATAGAGGCACATGTTTCAATCAGCAGTTTGAGAATTCGTTTATAAAGGCGCATTTATAAACCACACACACCTTCACTGAGCTAACGGGTGCCGGTGCGTGAGAAGCAGGCAGATGCTGCTGCGTTCAAGTGTTTCAGTTTTTTTTATGAATTCGATTAAAAATAATGGTGCCCGGCCCGTGTCCGAGGTAATTACACAGTCGTTGGCCCGAAGCCCGGCCCTCGGGCCGTCGGGCCGGGCTGACCCATGGGCCTAGGGCTCCAGTGCAGGGCTCTAATTGACACA